CCCGTGTCTTTTGTAGGATTCGTAAAGATTATTCGAAAGTTTGCTATTGGATGGGATATAATTAGCTCGTTCACTGGTGAAGGCTGGAGTCGTTTTCTCCGAGTTAATACAAGTGTAAGCGTATAATATATTATATTTTTAAGTACGTTAAGGTTTTCGCGAGGCTATTCATAATGGTTGAATACTATATTGATAGATAACTCTCGCGAGGAACGGAGTTACTACCAGTGAGCGAGTTAACGATAATCTGTAATAATATAAGGTGTATCGTATTAGCTAGAATATTGCGTGGATATAAGTCTCATGCAATATCAGGAGTTTTGTATGAAATGTACTTAAGTAAAGCATACCTCATACAAAGATGAAAAATAATGGCTAGAAATAGTAAGAATAAAGTTTTGAATAATGTACAGGGTTCCATGCTGAACAACCTGTTTAGTTAGGGTGGTTTTCTGAAATGAGAATTTTACATATATCGTATTACTAAAATATACCTGTAATTTTAGCGTTGAGATTTTAGTAATCTTATAGGCGTCCGAGCTGATAGCGAACCTGCAATTAGGAATACGTATATTATTATACATGAATAATCTTGGATATATATATGTATATTTGTATGACGCGTGGTCATTCGTCTTCCCATCTAGTAAAACAATAATAATTATTAGCGTATTGTTTTATAATGTAGGCTGGTAATGATTAATGGTGGGTACTTTTCCGTCCCAGTATCTAATGGTATCGTTGCGTTTCCACACGTTTACTACGTATTGAATATAGGTAAAGAAACATTCTTCACAGTTAGTTATGGGTTCAATTTTGTAACAAGCATAGCGACAGTTGAGACATGGAATAGGAGGTGCGGTTTCGCAAACTAAAACGTGATAATTATAAATGTCTTTAGGTACCGATCGAGTTCTTCGCGTGATGCGACAAATTTGGCAATAATTATCGTAAACTGTGCTTTTATAGCATCTAGCTCTATGTATATTAGGAAAAAATAGTAATATTTTCTGTATTGAAGGAAATCTCTGTAACAGAGTGTGGAGTTCAACAATATTAGGGTGTTCGTAGTACGTGTTAGGGGCTGTTGCGTTGTGATCGCATGGATTGTTGGAGGACATTTTTCTTAAAGTTTAAACAACTAGAGGTGGTTAAAAAAGTAATTCTTGATTTATGCTCATTAGATAATTAGTGCAAATTATACAACTTCGTATTGGTTTGGAAATTGTTAGGAACTCGGAACATACAGAACACTGTGGTTCAGGATAACCTAATCCAATTACAACGGCGTGAGTATACCGTGTTTGGTAAAAGGAACGTGCGGCTAGATCGAGATTTGAATAACAATTCGTGCAACGTGCAGAATTAGTGACTACGTTACGATATCCGAAAACCTTTACGCAGCTTGCGAAGGAAAATATCTGATGTAGTGGGGAGCTTGTAGTTTGTCCTGGATGGACTGGTTGGCGATGCCAACACATCTGAAACCCAAAATTAGAAATACTGTTTTTCAACCTGGTTCTATATGTGCTAATTTTAACTTATCGATATGGACAATCCGCGGTTTATGGTCGATTAGGATTTTGGCGTTGTTGGAAGGTAGGATCTCTATTATTTCGTAGGGTCCTACGTAATGTGCTGAAAATTTTCCTTTCTTCGGTTCCTTTAGTAAGAAAACATAATCTCCTATTTTAAACTGTCGAGAATTTACACGTTGATCATAATAGTATTTGCTTCTTTCTTTGGCTCTAATGAGATTTTGTCGCGCTTCTTCGCGGATATCATATAATTTGTTGAATAAAGTGTTTATGTATTCTTGATAAGTAGGTTCTAGAGGTTCTTCGATAGGTTGATACGCGGATGGCAATCTGGCTAGTCGTCCGAATATTAGTTCGTATGGCGAGAATTTTGTTCCTTCGTGGACGCTTGTATTATAAGAGAACATGGCGAGTTTAATGTATTCGTCCCAATTATCTTCTTTATCGATTGTGTCTTTAAATATTCTACTAATACGTGATGTGACCGTTCTATAGATCCATTTGATTGAGGATGGTAAGCAGTGGTTTTGAAATGTTGAATATTGAATTTTTTAGTTAGGATGCGTATTAAAGTTGATAGAAAATTGGTACCTTGATCGGTAAGGATAGCCTTGGGAGTTCCATAAATGCAAATAAATTCTTTTGTAAAAGCGTCGGCTATCGTTAATGAAGTGGCTTCTTTTAATGGTACTGCTATAGAGTACTTTGTTAATAAATCTTGCATGGTTAAAATATATTTATTTCCGTTATTCGTGATAGGGAATGGTCCTACTATATCTAGTGAAACTTTGTCGAAAGCTGTACCAGGGGTATCCGTAATAATCATTGGTTGCTTGGTTTTGACGCGCGTTAATTTTTTTAACTGGCACTCGCGACATTTTCTAATAAATTCTTGAATATCTTGTTTCATTGTACTCCAAAAGTAATGAGGTCGAAGTCTATTAAATGTTTTCGTAACTCCTTTATGGCCACCGCATGCTGATGCATGGTTTTCTGAAATTAATTTTACGCGTTCTGTAGGGATAGGGTGATCGACTAAATTTTGACAAATAGTTATATTTATACGGGTGTCGTGGAAAAATTTCTTTAATTGGTATGACCAAGGAATATCATCGAATTTATGACCAAGGAATGTCATCGAATTTATGCGTTTTGCTGATGCTAAAGGAGGTTAGTTGTAATTCGTTAACGCAGTCTAATAAAGAGCGTATACAATTTTTCACAGTTTGCGGTTCTACAGACAGTCGATTGTTTGTTCTTATCGGGATTGATATTAAATTATTTAATTTGATTTTCTTTACATTAACTCTTTCAAAATTGAGATTTTCGTATGTGGGTAAAAGATTTGCAATGGAATAAAGTTCGGCTCCCTTGTCGTAAGGTGATCCGTCTAGACTTATAAAAATTACATGATTATCTTTTTGGTTTAATAAGTTATCTCTTTTTTCGCGTATTTTTACTTTACTCGGAATTACGGGAGAGGGTTGTATAATTGGTATAGTTTCTGAAATTACTGGGTCGACGTAATCGTATTCTAAATTTAAATTTGACATATTTGCATAGTCATGATTCTCGTTGTTAGGAATTGAACTTTCATCATCTGAATCGGAATCGTTTTCAGTTATATTAACATAATTGGGGTTATCAATATTGTTACTGCGGTAGGGAATTAGAGCATTTGTTTCAATTGATCTGACGGAAGGTCCTGGTCTACTTGAAAATATGGATTCGTCGGATGACTCATCATTATCTGAAGCGAATATTGGTAAAACTAAATCAGTGGGTGGATTTCGCGATAAAGCATCGGCATTATTATTTAGTGATCCCTTTTTGTATTTAATTTCGTAATTGTATTCTGCCAGCTTGGTTTTCCACTTCCAGAGTCTGGAAGTTGGGTCTTTTATGGAATGTAGCCAAATTAAAGGTTTGTGATCCGTTATTATAGTAAAAAGTCTTCCGTATAAGTAGGGTCTGAAATGGCTAATACAATATATGATGGCTAGGCATTCTTTTTCAATCGTTGAATAATTTTGTTCCGCAGTGTTTAAAATTCGAGAAGTATATGAGACAGGAAGATCTTTTCCTACCGGTCCCTGACTTAAAATTCCGCCTATGGCATATCCTGATGCGTCGGTAGTTAGTATGAAAGGTCTAGTAAAATCGGGATATTGGAGAATGGGGTTTGAACATAACGAGTGTTTCAAAGAGTTAAAAGCTTCTACTTGTTTTAGTTGCCAATTGAATATGCTATCCTTTTTCAATAAATCTGTTAATGGTTTCGCGACTTTAAAAAAATTAGGTATAAATCTTCGGTAATATCCGGCTAAACCGAGAAATTGCTTTATGTTTTTCGGATTTTTTGGAGTTGGAAAGTGCATTATTGATTTTATTTTGCCCGGGTCTGGTTTGACTCCGTTCGCGCCTATTATATGGCCTAAATAAGCTACTTCGTGCCTTAGAAATTCGCACTTGTCTGGTTGTAATTGTAAATTCGCGTCTCGTAATCTTTGCATTAATCTTTCACATTTGATTTCGTGTTCTCTTAATGATCGTGCGTAAATGACAATGTCGTCCATATAGACGAATAATTCGTTTCCTTGTAGTCCCGATAATACATTATCCATAAGTCTTTGGAAAGTAGCAGGTGCGTTTTTTAAACCGAATGGCATGCGCTTGAATTGATAATGCCCGTATGGCGTGGAAAATGCTGTTTTTTGAGCGTCTTTAAGTGACATAAAAATTTGATGAAATCCGGAAGCTAAATCAAATATTGAAAAGTATTTGGCTGATCCTAACTGGTCAAGAATGTCTGTTATGTTAGGAAGAGGATAAGCGTCTCCTATAGTTTTTTCGTTTAATCCTCGATAATCTACCCAGACAGCACACAATGTCCAGTGGACGTCCAGTTTTGGTTTTTATTTGGTACAAACGTCCATGGACTTAATACGAACGTTTTAAGAATATCCATTATTGGATGTTCAAAGTATATTTATATTTGGACGTTTTAAAAATGTTTATTTTATGCATATATGTAAAGAATTCTTATCGATAAAAATAATTTCGTGTAAAATAGTTATAAACCCTTTTTTTCAGCAAACAGAATATAAATATTATATAACATAAGGAAATAATAAACGCAATATAACGGATCGTAGTTATGCGTAGATGAAATAATTTTTTTTCATATATACGCAATATAACTCAGCATACATGTTCCAAAGACGTTCAGAGAATATCTAGAATATCCTTTGGATGTTCTCTGAACGTCTTCGATATACTTCGATCATATATAGAGTCTGTTATAAAGGCTGTGTGTTCTGAAATTTAAAGTTAGTGTTGGGTATCAATTGTGTAACTTTTTTTAAAGTAAAAAATTTTCGGCAATCACGCATTGATTTTAAAATAAAATTAATGTGTGATTGGAAGAAATTTTTCACTTTTCACCTTTTCACTTTGGAAAAAGTTACACAATCGATAGTTTATACGTTACGTATATATTTATAAATTTTTAGCAGTATTGACAGTGAATTTTGAAACACAGCCAAAATTTACCTAGTGACAGTGATTATCGTGTGAGCACTCACTTGTTCGATGTTTTCTAAACGTATATTACGTGACTGTGATATTCAACTTTTTTCGTCCTTCCCGCCTTGGCTTCGCTATCTCCGAAGGCTGTGCATACATACTCGAAGGTAATCCTTATTTATTTCATTATTAAATTCATAAATCAACTCTATAAAGTTATAAATAAATTAGCTTACATATTTATTCGTGTACTTTTCATAATATTTTCCTTGTATTTGTTGGTTCTTGTAAATTTGCAGCCTTCCGAAAAATAGTAATAAGGTTAAGGTGACAAAATTCCAAATAAAATAAAAAATATAATTAAACTTAAGGCACATAATTTCATATAATATTCAGAATAGCATTATTAGACTTCTTTAATTGTTTTTAATAATTATTACGTTGATTTTTACGAAAATTATGCTAATTGTGAATTTAGTCCATTAAAACAAAGTTATAACTTCCTCTATGTACCTTGTACCTATAAAATTTATGGCTAATTATAATTTTACTATTTCTTTATTAAGATTTTAATATGATCTTTAATATAAAAAAATGTATGTGTATAGTGGACGTAAAGAAATAATGTTACGCACCGTTAAACATCTAACACATTTTATTTAGTCTTGAAGTCATCGATACTCAAGTCGATACTCAACATTGAATGTAAAGTAAAATATAATTATATATTTATTATATATATAATTATATTTTACCTCACATTCAATGTTGAGTACCAATTTGAGTATCGATGACTTCAAGACTAAATAAAATGTGTTAGATGTTTAATGTTGCATAACATTATTTCTTTACTTCCACTATACACATACATTTTTCTATCACATCTTTTTCTTGCAATTTAATCAAATTTTATATTTCAGAGTATCTGTTATGTATACAGTGGAAGCAGAGGAATAAACAGACTTTACATAACATTAAACATCTAACACATCATTGTGTTCGGGAAAGTCGACATTTCACATTGGCACTCAATATTGAAGATAAGGTAAGATATAATTTCCAATTATCTGTTATGCATATAGTGGAAGTAAAGAAATAATATTACACCACGTTTAACATCTAACACATTTCATTTTGTCTGGAAGTCATCGATACTCAAATTGATACTCAACATTGAATGTAAAGTAAAATATAATTATATGTTTGTTATATATATAATTATATTTTATCTTACATTCAATGCTGAATACCAACTTGAGTATCGATGACTTAAAGACTAAATAAAATGTGTTAGATGTTTAATGTTGCGTAACATTATTTCTTTACTTCCACTATACACATACATTGTTTATACTATATCAAGATGACAAATTTTCTAATATTAAAATAATAAAAGCTTAATTGTATATTTTATAACTTTTTCTATTGTTGAGCGACTTTAGTGAATTTAGTTTTTCTACAATTTAATTTTTCTACAAACAAAAATACCTCATAAATATTATTTTGATTAAAATTTGAGAGAAGTAATTTGTAACAAGTATCTTTTATTTCATTAGTAGACAAAATTTTAAATTTTAAAACTTAAAAATGTTTTGGTTGTATTAAATTTAATTAGAAATTACAAAATTAACCGTAAAATAATTTTTTATATAAATTTGGATATTATATTTGGTTTTGTGAATCTTTTATTCAATCAACTTTTATTTTTTCATCTGAAGACTTTCATAATGTCTGAAATTAAGAAGCATTATATGAGAGCAAAGAGAATGCGTTTTCAAGAAGAAGTCTTTTCTAATCCTGAGCTTGATTCTGAGTCCGATCCTGAACCTGATCCTGAGCCTAATCTTCCTAACATAACTACAGAAAGATTCTCTGAACCACTAAATATAAGTATCTTACCAAATATAAATATCTCCACTAATGACGCACAATTAGAACTTTTAGAAAATAACAATTATTTAGAATCAGATTTGTTTTTACATGAGTCTATTTATGAATCCGATCAATCAAATGAAAACTTTCCACCTTCCTTCCACTCACCCTCAGATTCAGTCGATCTTGATGTACATAAGTATTTTCCTCATGACAATAGTAAAAAAAATAATCCAGAAGAGAACATACAATTAAAATTTATCCAGTGGTCATTGACGCATAATATTTCACATGCAGCATTAAGTGATTTATTAAAAATGTTAAAAGTTCGTATACCTGAATTACCCACTGATGCTCGAAGTCTTTTGAAAACTTGTCGTACCGTTGTAAGTAAAGTTATTGAACCTGGACAATATTATCATTTTGGTGTAGAGAATTGTATTAAAAATCTTATAAATTACTCAACTGATTTTTTTAAAAATACTGAAATTATAGAACTTGCAATTAATATAGATGGTCTGCCTTTATCAAAAAGTTCTGGAAGTCAAGTTTATCCCATTTTATGTCGGCTTGTCAAATATCATAGTAATGTAGATATAATTGGCATTTATCATGGTTATGAAAAACCTAAAAACGCTAACAGCTATTTAAACGATTTTGTTGAGGATGTATCAAATGTTATTAATAATGGAATTATTATCGATACTAAACATTATTCTGTCAAAATATCTTATTTTGTATGTGATGCAGTAGCGAAAGCTTATATTACCTATACAGTTGGTCATATGGGTTATTATTCATGTACTAAATGTTATGAGGAAGGTACTTATATTAATAATCGTGTCTGCTTTCCTAATACAAATCATTTACGTTTAAGAACAGATACTTGTTATAGATCAAAAGTCCAAGAAGAGCATCATAATGGCACTAGCATATTAGAACAGATTCCTAGTCTTGATATGATTAAAGCTTTCCCATTAGATTATATGCATTTAATTTGTCTTGGAGTCGTAAAAAAACTAGTAGTAAATTTATGGTGTTTTGGAAAACCTTCCGTAAAATTATCACATCAGAATATTGCAAATATATCTTCTAATTTAATTAATCAAGCTAAAAATATGCCAATAGAATTTAACCGTAAACCTCGATCATTATTTGAAGCAAAAAGATGGAAAGCTACCGAATTTAGACAATTTTTGTTTTACACTGGCCCTGTTGTACTTAGAAAAATATTAAATAATGATAGATATACAAATTTTCTTTGTTTACATGTTGCAATAATTATATTAACGTCTTCTAAGTATTCATTATTTATTGATTACGCTTCTAATCTTCTTTCATATTTTGTGAACACATTTAAAATTTTATACGGCAAAGAAAATACATCTCATAATATTCATAATTTGTTGCATCTTTCTGAAGATGTAAAAATTCATGGCCCATTAGACAATTTCAGCGCTTTCCCATTTGAAAATTATTTGCAAACTATTTTAAAATCTATTCGTAAAGGTGAAAAACCGTTAGCTCAAATAATTAAAAGGAAAAGCGAACAAAATTTCCATCAAGTTCAAATAGAAAAGACTAAGAAAAAATATCCTATTTATGAAAAAAAACATTTTGATGGTCCAATTCTTAATCTTAACATTTGTAAACAATTTAAAAAAATCATTTTACAAGATTTTGTGTTGCGTATAGATCATCCTAATAATTGTTGTACTCTTATCAATGGAGACATAATTTTAATTGAAAATATTGTGCATTGGAATAATGACTTTAAGTTAATTGGCAGAAAATTTTTGATTGTAGAAAATTTCTATACAAGTCCCTGCGAATCAAAAGAGATTGGAATCTGTTCTGTTGATAATATTGGTGCTCTTGAAATATTTAATGTAGCAGATATTTCATTTAAATGTGTAATATTAAATTGGGAGGAAAAACAAGTAGTATTTCCATTAATACATTCAAACATCAATTAATGTTATTAATATATCAATTATTAATGTATTATCAACAATTGCTACTATTGTTATAGCAGAAAATTTCTCATTATTTATGTAAAATAGTTTTTAATTGATTTTAAAGATTTTATTTTTAAAATTTTATTTTATAACTATTAACAAATTGTGTTTTGTATTTCAAAATTGAAATTAAATGTTTTGCATTGCCTACACTATTCTTGATTACGAGTCTGTTTTTCTTAGTGTTGTGTGTTTTGGTTTTTTAGTTGTTCATGTAGAAAATGTGTGAACAAACATGGACTGTAATACAGTTTGAACAAGATTGTTCTGTGGAAGCGGTACCCTCAACATGGATTCAAGGGCAGTTTTGCTATTGGCCTACATACTCAAGAGACAAAATAACGAGTGCAATAAGGAAGCATGAATCTTTAAATACATGTTGGCCTAGCTACAAAATAAGAAACTTCAGAAATTCTACGTTTGGTAAGTTTTTATAATACAAAATTTTAAAATAAATGTTAGATTAAAAAGAAAGATTCATGTAGGATATATTTACACTGCGTCTGATATCGGATGTATGTCGGATATCAGACGCAGTGTGAATCCTGCATTAAATAAAATATCACTGATGTAGTAAAGCGAGCTATATGAGAATCTGTCGCGGAATAATACGCAAAGTGTTTATAATAGATATTTACTTTATTATTAGTATATTTCGATTCTTATTCGATCCTTCTCTCATCAATGAACAATTAAATCAAATTCTAAACGCATTATTTACCACACCAGACTGATATAGCCCGCTTTATTACAACTAAAATAAATGTATTTACTAATTTTGATACATTTGATTACATGAAACAAATGCAAAATAAAACAAAATTATATTTAACTTTTTAAGATAACTATTCCAAAGCACGCTCAAAAGCACATATTGCTGAATTTACGAGCGACTTAAATTCTGAAGTAGAAACTAATACTAAAAGAAAAGTATATAAAAAAATTTTAACTTCTTCTTCATCAGAAGAGAACTTAATACCACAACCACCAAAACTAAAAACAAAAGTTAAAATGGGAAAAAAAATAAATTCTGTAAGAAAAGAAAGTTCTGAAAAATCAATTAATGTTGATCAGTATGAAATATCCAATACCGAAATTGGTAAGTTTTTATAGCTATATAATAACATTTATAATAAACATAAAATTTTAATATATTTATTTTTTTTATATATATCTTATATTTTTAAAATACTTTTTACAGATAATTCAATTCTTGATGAAAATGTAGATTTCCTAAATTATGAAAGAGAATTAATTAGTAAGTGTTTTTTATATATAATCTCATAGTCTTTTATTCATTTTATAGTCTATATGGACCGGTATTTATAGTTCAATCTTATATTTAAGATCGTCTTAAGTCTGCTTTAAGGTTAACTTAAGATTCTATTCAACCGATCAAATAGCTTCGTAGCATCTCAAGCTCGGACTTAATTTTAAATATAAAATCGGACAATGAATACCGGCCTATATATATATATATATATATATATATATATATATAAAGGACAATAAAAAATTAAATATTTTTATTAATTTTTATTTTACAAGAATTGGTTAATATATATTAAATTTTTTCTAGGTACGCCACGTAATTCCCCCTACAGTCACCTCAGTAAGAGAGAAAAATTTGATGGTAATATATATATATATATATATATATAATATAAAAATATACATGTATGCACACACATGAATACATATTAGTACATATACGCATATATGCATACATACACATACATACATACACGTGTGTGCGTACATGTGTGTGTAACTAGACATAATATTAAATAATTTGAAATAATTTTCAGAGAAGACTGTTAAAAACTTAGTGGCTCAAAATTATTTAATACGTAGTGTGGTTCTGGATATACTCTCTGAAGTTAAAGAAATTAAGTTGCAACTAAAAAATAATTCTCAGGAAATAAATACCCGTGGAAAAGAACAAATAATTTCGGTATTTAATAATAAAGATAATGATATAAATTTTCCACTTAAAACCGAAGAAGAACTGCAGATAGTGGAAGCCGTCTTAGAAAATGACGACGAAATTACTAAAGCGGTAAGTTTTACTCAACCATATTACATATTTATTTTAAAAATAATTATTATATATAAAAGTATCATATACTCAGTGCCATTTGATAGAAAATGGAAATATATGAAAAAATGTCTAATACTATTTTTCGATGCGATGAATAGTTTCGCCGCAATTAATTATTGTAATAATCAGTCATTCAGCGCGGAGCTGCAAAAATCGCTTCCTTTTATAGCCCCACGCTGATTTTTTGATTACAATATAATTAATTGCAGCAAAACTATTCATCGTATCGAAAAATAGTATTAAACATTTTTTCTTAGATTTCTCTATCAAATGGTGCTCAGCATATGCGACATTTTTTAAACACTATATATACATATATAATATAAATTATTTATTTATTATAACTTATTTCTAATGATTAAGGCTTTTTATGAAAAATGTTATTCTTTTAAAATTATATTTAATTTACAAACAACATTCATTTTTATTTTTTAGATGACTGAGTTGCAACAATTAGGAGGGAACAATGGATATGAATTTATTAGAAGATGTTTATCTATGATATTAACAAATGAGATTGCGGATAAATAAACATTTTTACCTACACCTCCTAGAGCACAATATATCCAAAAGATGTTCAGAGGACATCCAGAGGATGTTTGAATGTCCTTTGGATGTCCTCTGAACGTCTTTTGAATATATGTGCTGTTTAAACCTACTATAAAAAATTTAAATAATGTTCGAAACAGGTCCAATTTTAGTCCGTTTGGTATATAAAATGGACATTTTTTAATTGTCCAAATCAGTAACACTGGACATATTTAAAATGTCTTAAAAATGTCTGAGGCTGTAATCTGGATGTTTTAAATATGTACGAAACGTCCAATATATATATATTTAGTACGTTTTTAAAACGTTATTGTGCTGTCTGGGTATAACCATACGCCAACGTTATTGCCTTGTGAATCTGGTTTTTTCGGTACTATCCAGATTGGTGAGTTATACGGCGATGTAGAATACTCGACTAAATTATTTTTTAATAATTCGCCGACTTGTTTATCGATTTCTTCTTTATAGACAGGAGGAAACCTGTATTGTTTATTGTGTATAGGAATTTCGTTAATAGTTGGAATGTAGTGTTGAGTCGCGTTTGTAGTTCCTAAAGGTTCGTTAGGCAAATGGAATCTATCAGAATGCTTAGTAAGAATTGACCTGACATGATCAACTTCTTCAGGATTTAAATGTTCGAGTCTCAAAAGTTTTTCGACAGCGTGTGGTCGATAAGAATTAGTAGAATTGTCGTTGGTCGAGAAAAGCCCTAGGGTTCTCGCACAATCGACGGAATTAGAAATTTCATCTCTTATTACCGGGGTCTCCCGACTCTCGGTAATATACTCTTCGTTGCAAGACATTGAATGCCCTAAGGTTTCAATGTATCTAGTAGATTTGTCTCCCATCTCTTCTTCGTTTTGGAATCGCACTGAATGCCCTAAGGTTCCAGCGTGATTAGTATAATCTCCCATCTTCGTCGTTTCATTTAGGTAATGTACGCCGTGCCCTAAGGTCTTCGTACAATACATGGATTTATCTCCCATTTCGTCTTCAGAAAGTACCGAATGCCCTAAGGTTTCGGTCCGATTAATGTATTCTCCCATTTCTTCGTCTTCAAAAAGTACGTCGAGCCCTAAGGTCTTGGTACTCTCATTAATAGATTCGCGAGATTCAAAATCAAAAATTTCTACGGACGGAATGTCGATTTTGAAATCCTCCTCGGTGGTATTAAATACCGGTAAGTATGTTTTTTCCGTTTGAATGAGTAATGAGTGCGTCTCCGAAGAACACCTTGTCAGCGAGGGTTTGTAAGGGTAAGTATCCAGTATGTATTTCTGGATTAGAAATATGAATGCAACAAGGAGTCACAGTCCTTGCTTTGAGATGTAATTTTCCAACTTCATAGGTGATGAAAGGAATGATAATTGTGTCGTGATGAAGGCATCTATCCTTATAATTTATGATGATGCTTCTTTCTTTCAAGAAAGCGTTTCCTAGGATCCCGTCTTGGGGAATGCAAATGGAGTCTGATATTACATGGAACAGGGTAGGTTTGTCTAACAAGTGGATAGTTATGGAACCTAAAGTTACTATTGTTTCAGAGGAAATGCCTCGAATGGATATAATATTTTCTTTATCTAGATTGACGTGAGGTAATACAAATTGTTGTTTGATAAGATTTATGCCAGAGCCTGAATCAATCATGAAATTGCATTCATGTGATAAGTGTGGGGATATAAGTTTAATAGAAGGTAAGTCGTTGTGTTTAATCTCGTTATCTACACTGCAGATTCGAGTGGTGTGGTTGGAATTGATTGCTGTGTAAGGATCATGTTTGCAGGTTGTGTGCGTCCTGTCGGGGCTTCGTTCCGGCGGACGTCGGATTGTACCGGAACGCTTTGGGGGTTTCCCGAATTAGCAAAAGAAGTACTAGGTTGAGCCTGATTTTGTTCGAGTGATCTTTTGTAAGCGAATTTCCGGCATTCGCTCATGAAGTGACCGGAACTTTTGCAGTAACGACAGATTTTAGTGGCTGGATAATTTGGTCCGGGTTGACCAGGTATCAAAGGTTTAATGAAAGGAGCAGTAGTAGAAATATTATTGTTGCGCGAAATTAATTATTGGAGGCTTTTCATTATGTTACGTGTTGTTTTTGCCGTCGGATAGTTCACACCGAGGTGAAGTGTAAGCGCGATTAAAAATTGTAGTTTCTTTCGAAGGTTTTCGGCTTCTAGAGTCTTGGATAATTGAATAGCTGAGACAATGCTTTGTTCAAAAGTATAAGGTCGTTCTAATTTCACGCGGATTAATAAATCGGAAGGTAATCCGTTAATAAAACTGTTAGTAACGCTTTTTTCGATGTTATCTCTAACTTCGTCGTCGAGATTTCCACAAACATCGGCTTCTCCATCTATAATTGCCGTTCTTAATTCTTGAACGCGCGCGATGTAATCAAAAATGTTCTCGTTCTGTTTCATAAATATGTTTGCTAACTCTCCTCGATATTGATCGATGGATTTGTTCGGTCCGAAAATAAGTTTTAAACGTCGTGTTAGATCTCGTAGGCTATTAAATTCAACTCCCTCGATCGCGGCGTAAGCATGTCCTTGCAATTTGTTAATGATTAGTTGAACTAAATGATATTCTTGATATCCGGGAATTAGTTGAAGTGCTCTTTCGCAAATTTTCGTGAAATGGAGGACAGACATTTTATGTCCATCAAATTTAGGGATTGTGTCTATAGCGTCTTTCAAACGAATAGGAGAATTTAGTTGTAAAGGAGTGGGTGGTCTTTGTGTTTCTATTTTATCATAATGTTCCTGCATATTGTTAGAATGTTCGACTATATCTATACGTTGTGATAAGCGAGTTACTTGTTCTGATAATTTTTTCATAAGAGTTAATTGTGTAGCTAATTGTTCCGAAATTCCGGTTACCGAACCGTCCTCCATGTTTCTATCTTGTTCTAAAGTTCGTTGAAATGTAAGTAAATTTTCCTCTCTATTTCGTAATGTTTCAGCTTGCGCTGTTAATTGGGCTTCTTTATCGTTTAAATTCTGTGTATAAAGATTAAGTTGACTACGGGTGAGTACTCTGTTTTCTGAATTGTCTGAATGTACAGGGGTTCTGGTAAGAGACATTTCGTTTTAAGATTTATAATTTATAAACTAACTTTACGTTAATTTTACTTATAAAAAACACCGATCGCACAGATCAATCTCCGCGACCTCTCAACGATCTCTTTTGGCCAATCCCACCGCTGCCACCAGAAAATAAAAGCCTTCTTGTTACGTCCAATAATTCATCTAGCGATAAATTACCTTCTGCACAAGACGGTCTTCTCTCGCGTCTACCTCGGTGGACGTTTAAGAAGCTGCTCTCTATTTGTTTTATGGGCAACCTGCTAGGCCGGCTATACCCAGGGAAGCCGAGAGCTTGAGATTCGATTGAGAGTATCGGACGGAGAAGGAAACTGACGGGTCGGGTCGATAAATAAAGATATTTTACAAATATAATGTCATTTATTCATTTATAAAACCTTTACGTCGATATAAAGTTTATTGGTCCTGACGTGGTTCGTGGGGAGCTTGAAATTGAGTTACAATATGACTGAGCTCCAGTTCCGGATTGTTAGGCTGGTTGAGGTAAGTTATAAAAGAAGTGAAGTTATCTTGCGCTTCCTCGGGGATGACGTTATCGACGTCGTGAGTGAGATTCGCGGTGTCCTCGTTGAGAATGTGAAAGTTTGTTCGTTGTTAAATTGTAAAATGGGGTCGTACTCTGGCGATGTGATTGGTAGATTTTGATCCGGGATATAATATTCAGGATCGGGTAAGAATTGATGATTAGGGTTCGTTATTAACGTATTTGATTCTAACGGCGAGGGCTCCGGAAATTGCGGGTGAGAATAATCAATGTAGGGCGGAAGGTTATTTATAGGCGAATAAACGTCTGGAGAAGGGGATCGAACGATTACTCGCGTAGGAAATATTTGGACATGTAAATTTAAGACTCTTCTTGTCCTACGTTCGCGTAGTCTGTGGAGACGTTGCTCGTCGCGATCAATTTGATTCTTCCTTCGGAAGGGAGAGACCATCTAATGGTTAAATAAATTTATATGAATAATATGTTTAATAGAACTGAGATAGTTAAATAATCAAAGGTAATTGAATGTGACTCACGTTTAAGTCGTGATTTACGTGTTAAAGAGTTAGAGACGAGATGAAAGGTTAATCTATACGAGAATGCCCTTCACCTGTTAATTAATTAAGCGTTGTGTCAATTATAATTATAATTAAACGATACTGAAAGAGAATTGGTAATAATGTGGAATAGGAAAGGAGTCTTAGTACATGTATTAATATCTATATCAAGAATATTAATATTTGTACTTTCAAGCATCAAAGATTTAAGTCTTAAATATTGAAGTAATAATTCTTAGTAATTATCAAGACCTCTGTCATTCGGTTTGGTAAAGTATTCGCAACTATTGGAAAATGCAAGGTAATAAAAGCGTAAAAGCGATAGAGAGATAGGTGTTCATCCGGCTAGGCCGGGTTCTCTGGTCCTTGTCTTAATAGGCTAATGCGACGTTCACTTTACTAAACGTGCACCTCAGAGATGACTTGCGAATGTACCTTATGACAGTATATTTCTATTGGTTGTAAATAGGGTCGGGTGGTGTACACTTGTCGAATGAATCGAATATCAATATGCAAAATCACTGTCAGTTGGTGTGGTAAAGTATTCGCAACTATTGGAAAATGCAAGGTAATAAAAGCGTAAAAGCGATAGAGAGATAGGTGTTCATCCGGCTAGGCCGGGTTCTCTGGTCCTTGTCTTAATAGGCTAATGCGACGTTCACTTTACTAAACGTGCACCTCAGAGATGACTTGCGAATGTACCTTCTGACAGGATATAGTTTCTAATGTGTACAGAGGAATTAGCGGCATTCAATTCGCTAATATGTGGTAGGATACAGGGTTACATACATATATAAATAAGCAGTGATATAATAAAATACATAAGTATATTTATTA